CAGGTCATGATCCTGGAGTCCCGGGATCGAGTCCCGCATCGGGCTCCCTGCTCGGCGGGGGGTCTGCTTCTCCTTCTGACCCTCTTCCTTCTCGTGCTCTCTGTCTCTCATTCTTTCTCTCTCTCAAATAAATAAATAAAATCTTTAAAAAAAAAAAAAGAAAATGGGATCTAGTTCCTTCCTACTTGGGTTAAGGACATAGAGACAGGTTCATGTAATGATGGTATTTCAGTTCTGGGTTTCTGTTGGAAAGTTTACTATTATATATAAGTATATATATAATTTTATCATATTTTATATTTATGTTATATATAATGCATTACTTATAATGTTATGTTCTGAAATGTGTCTTTATCATATATTATGTCCATTTTTAAAAAAATAAATAGACGATCAAATTATTCCATGGGCAATTAGATAGGTAAGTGATAAAGCTAGGACTGTTGAGAATGTGCCATGAGGCCAGGTTCTAAATCTGTACAATTCTGCATAAATAAAATTCATGACAATAATTATTAGGCTGTTAATTAAGAGTAGGGAGTATAATAGTTATAAGCCTTATTCCCGAGTCAAGTCTTAGATTCCATGATGTTTACATTGCCAAAAATTAAAAATAAAATGAACTGATAAATAAAAAGGAGTGCAGTTTTTGCACCAATAATGAGAATGTGATATGATCCAGCTTTATTATTAACCTGGCAATGTAAAACTCACGTCCACTTAGACACATCTAATAGAGACTATTTAGAATTGGCTTTTTCATTTACAGCATGAACACACCACAGCCAACTTAATAATTCTTTAATGGTGAAGGTCTCCATTGTCGCCTCTGTGGGTAAAAAGCACAGAGACCAATATAAATAACTACCAAAGTCCCTGTTCTCTGGCGAGATTGTTCATGAATTTCCAAGGAATCATTTTTAAAAACTGGCTTTATATATATGTATGTATATACATATATATAAAATCAAAGAACACCAAGCATTGACCAAGGATATGAATATGTTATGAACCGAGGTTCATAGATTAGTCATTTTCAAGGCCACGTAATAGTATGTCATTTTAGTTTCGCACCAAAGTATATTTAGAAGAACATCCCTTCCTTGATAAAGATCAAGGTTATTTACTTGTTGAAGGAGGAGAACATAGGACGATGGGAGAGAATGACATTATTCTAGCTGTGAGGGAAGAGGATGGTTCACAGTCGTTCATTTTACCATCTTTACAGTGTGGACACGTAAAGTTAAGAGACAAGCAAAAACCTGTTATCAACGTGAGGTTGATAGGAAGCACAGCTGTCGACCAATCCCCATGAGCAACCAGAGGTGCACTGAAAAAAGACATCAAATGTATTAGCTTTATGGGACAGGTGCTGATAGACTAACCTTGGTAAGAATCATTCCTCTCATTCTTGGCATTTGTGACTCCTGGCTGTTGACTGTAGTATAATGTATGCATGTAAAAATGAGGCAGAAAGGACGATATGAATGAAGAAGCCCAAAAAAATGCCAAGTTTACGGGCACCTGGGTGGCTTAGTCAGTTAAGCGTCTGCCTTTGGCTAAGGTCATGATCTCAGAGTCCTGGGATCAAGCCCCACCCCCACCCCACTGGTTAGGCTCAGTGGGGAGCCTGCTTCTGCCCCTCCCCCTGCTCCTGCTCTCTCTCTCTCCCTCATAAATAAATAAAACCTTTAAAAAAAATTGCCAAGTTTGGATCAGTGATGAGTACCCTGGGGTGTCTGAATTAAAGATTTTGATGAAGCTCGGTAGCTCTGAGGTCATTCCAAGAAGAGGTCTAGTTATTCCCTCTGTGGTGAAGGTACTTATGAGGCAAGAAAGGAATATTCAGGATCCTGTTCTTAGGCTTTGTGTTCCTTGGGTGTGGGATGTTTTTAATCACAAATGAAATAACACCTGATTAAGGAAAGAAATGAAGGGATGAATGATGACAAGGAAAGGCACACATCATTCAATTATGAGAGTGTGTTTTGAAACCTTTCTGAAGCAGTGAGGTCTAGGAAAATAAGTAGGTCAAGGTTTTACTCGATTCAGCAGGGAACAAATGGAAAGGTATGCCCAAGATTGGATGTTGTGATTATGAATTGATGGTGGGTTGCTGATGGTTCATTTTATTAAGAAAAGGGAAAGATGTTTGCATAAGTAAATAATAAGGCTCTAATTGAAAAAAAAGGTTATGGACCAGTGATGAGAAAAGGTCCTATAACAAGATGGTTTACTGTGAGCATATGATCACATGTTAATATTATTCAAAGTTTTGTCCAGTGAGTTATAATTATAATAATGACATATTATATGTTATTGTAAGTGTATGACTAGATTCATATTTTATTTAAAAGGTGAAAATCATACACCAGTGAGGACCCTTATTATGGAATAAGGATAATGATTATCCTGTTTTACACTACTGTTTGCATATTTAAAAAAAGCTAGGCTTTTCCTGCTTTGTATAATACACACAGACAGATGCACATAGTAGTTATTTCCTTTCTGAGGGGCTACCTATTTTACCATTTCGCTTTTTCTTTTCTTTTTTCTTGTTTTTTGTTTTTATTTTATTTTAAAGATTTTATTTATTTATTTATTTGAGAGAGAGAGAGAGAGAGAAACAGCATGAGAGGGGATAGGGTCAGAGGGAGAAGCAGGCTCCCCGCCGAGCCAGGAGCCCGATGTGGGACTCGATCCCAGGACTCCGGGATCATGACCTGAGCCGAAGGCAGTCGCTCAACCAACTGAGCCACCCAGGCGCCCCTTGTTTTTTGTTTTTAAATCAAAGTACAGTTAACATACAATGTTGCATTAGTTTCAGGTGTACATCATAGTGTTTTGACAACTCTATGTTATGCGGTGCTCGCCATAATTCAAGCTACCATCTTTGCCTTTTCTTTCTTTTAAAAAAAATTATTCATTTATTTTAGAGAGAGAGAGAGTGAGTGCGGGGAAGGGAAGAGGGAGAGGGAGAGAGAGAAATCCTAAAACAAATTCTCTGAGTGTGGAGCCTGAAGTGGGGTTCGATCCCAGAACCCTGAGGTCATGACTTGAGCTGAAATTAAGAGTCGGATGTTTGACCAACTGAGCCACCCAGGTGCCCCTGCCTTTTCTTTATATAATGAACAACAGGTAAAATTATTCCATGAGTAATTGAACGAATGAATACACTAAGTAGAGTCAACCATGGACATGACATGGTTAATGACAACCAAGTTGTTATTAAAAATACGCCATGAAACAAGGATTTAAATTTATCCAATCAGTACAAGAAAGATCCATTGAAAGGACAATGTAGAGGTTACCTATGTAAAGTACATGGGCATGTTTATAATAGTCATAGTTGTTATTTGTGGGTTGAATGGTAGATTCAATGGTGTTCATTGTATTATTTAAAATTAAAATTAAATGTTTAAGTAAAGAAGCAATAGTGATATTCTTGAGCCAATGAAAAGAAGCAAGTTTTATGTTTAATCTAGAACTCTACAAACATACCTAAATGTATTGTTTTTTCATCATTATTATTATTTTTTGTTTTTTTTTTCATTATTTTTAAAAAGCCTGATGTTTATCTCAGAATTGAGACACCATAGTTGATTTAATCATATCTAATGATGAAGATACATTTTCAAAATGTATGTGCTTGGTTAGGGGAACTTGCTCAAGGGTGTTCACTGAAGTATTTCAGGTAATAAAGAGGTACATAGAAGTATAACATTAAAGAATGCTGTATATTACCTATGATCAGAATAGATTATGAACCTTAGATAATGATGATTAATTCAATTCTGTACAATTAATGACTCCTTAACAAAAGATGGAAGATGTTTCATACATGTTCACACATTATATTTACATGACAGTGGATTTTAATATTCATCCCTTCAGATGATTCAGGGAGCACATGTGTGCTACTCTGAAGGTCATTGCAAGAAGAGATCTAATGTGTTAGCTTTATGGGAAATGAACATATGAATAGATCCTAGTAATATTCAAGATACTATTTTTGAGCTTTTATGATTTATATGTATTGACTATATTATATTGGAACAGTGAATGAAACAATAAACAAAAGGATAAAGGACTGAAGAAAAAGAATGCAAAGCTGGGGACAATGATGAATCCTGGAGTGGGGATTGAGTCTGAATCTAAAATTGTGTAGGATGTGGGGAAAGGGGAACTCTCTTGGACTGTTGGTGGGATGCAAACTAGTGTAGCCACTCTGGAAAACAGTGTGGAGGCTCCTCAAAAGGTTAAAAATAGAACTGAGCTATAATCCAGCAATTGCACCACTAGGTATTTACTCAAAGAATAAGAAAAATACTAATTTAAAGGGATACAGGCACTCCTATTTTTGTAGCAGCATTATGTACAGTAGCCAAGATATGGAAGTAGCCCAAGTGTCCACTGATGGATGAATGCATAAAGAAGAGGTATATATATATATATATATATATATATATGAATATTACTTGGTTGGAGCTAGAGCGTATTATGCTAAGCAAAATAAGTCAGTCAGAGAAAAAGAAATACCATTTGATTTCACTCCTATTTGGAATTTAAGAAACAAAAAATGAGCATAGGGAAAAAAGAGAGGCAAACTGAGAAACAGACTCTTAACTACAGAGGGGAGGTGGGGGTGGGGTGGGGGAACAGGTGATGGGGATGAAGGAGGGCCCTTGTGATGAGCACCAGGTGTTGTACAGAAGTGATGGAATCACTAAATTGTACACCTGAAACTAATATTACACTGTAGGTTAACTATACTGGAATTGAAATAAAAACTTAAAAAGATAAAAATAAAAAATAAAAATGGAACAAACAAACAAAATTATATTAATCCTTGTCTGGAAATCTGTGGACTACTGCGAAAAAGAGAAAAGGTAGACTCTTTGGGAAATGAACTTATGAATGGATAAGGAAATGTGTAAATGAACAAAGATATGGACGGCCACATGTGGACCAACTATGAAGTTATGTAATAAAACAAAGATTATTATTAGTGTATATTTAAAACACTGGGTTCCATGGATAAATCAAAGCTCTGAACTCTTCCATAAGGACAGGTATGGACAGATAATACCCAAGAGTTCATGTTGCTGCTTTCATTCTTTGTTTGGTGGTTTTAGTTAAGAAGGACCAAAAAAAAAAAAAGGGGGGTTACATAAATAAACAATTGTTTAAATATTGTCTTATTGAGAGAGGGCCAAATGTGAATCCATATTGAGGATGTGTCATATGACCAGAGTTAACAGTTAATATAACTGTATTCACTAATGTAATTTTTTTAAAAAAATCAAAAGAGGGTTTAGTAATCAGTTATGTCTCTGGGCCATGAGCACGTAGACTGGATATTTAATGTTCCCGTTCCTGTCTTGGTTTTCATTGGTACTGACATATTGTCATAAGGGAATGAAGGAGTGCATTTCTATATAAGTTAATTATTTAAAAGAAGGCTGAGCAAAGGCCAATGAGGAATATGTGTTATGAACCAGAGATAATGATTGCTCCTTTTATACCCAAATGTTGTCCAGATAAAAAAATAGAACTTGCAATTCATTCCACTTTGGGTAAAGTACACATAGAATTTTTTTTTAAGTTTTAATTTACATTACAGTTGGTTAACATACAGTGTATTATTAGGTTCAGTTGTACATGGAAATTTGCATGGGGAAATTCTTTAGAAAAATGGGTAAGTAATTGATTTATTTTATGCCTAATTATATACAGGAATAAATAAATGAATCAGTAGACATCAATCAGAAAAATTTGTGCTTCATTGGTGAGAATATGCAATAAAATAAAGATTTACATTTATCCAATTTTGTACAAGTGAGGTCCATTAAAAGCAACCACTGAGTTGTTAAATTTATGGATAGGGAGTAGGTAGACAGATATTTATGGTAGATAATGGTTCATATTCTCATGTTGGTGTTAATTGTGTTGTTTAAAAAGAAAAATTAAGTAAGTCAATAAATAAGAGTGCGATTCACGGACAATGATGACATTTCTAAAATGACCCACGTTCGTGATTGATCTGATACTGCAAGACTAACCTTCGCTTAAAAAAAATCTAACTGTAGGCTCTTTCTCTTTTGAGAGTCTGCATTTTCACCAAGTGAACACACCACAGATGATTTAATCATTTTCTAATGCTAAAGATCTTGGCTTTCACAAACCGTGTGGGTAAGGAAAGAAGAAATTGATGTAAGTAGCAGAGTTTATATTCTTTGGTTGGGAGGTTGTTTTATGGCTATTGCTTGAATTTTCCGAAGTAATGAATGGATATATTAATAAATAAAAAGCCAAGTAACACCAGCACAGACCCAAATTGAGATTTATGATTAATCTGATTCAGTACTATTGAAATTCAGAAAAAAAGATGCAAGGTATTTCATTTGTTTTCAGGGTTGGTCCACATTGTGTTTTATTTTTGCATTGCAATACATTTAAGTACTTCTCCATTGATAAAGATTTAAGCTGTGAATTCCTTGAGGAAGGAACACACAAGAAGATGGACAAAATAGTTGATGTTCTAGATGTGGAGAAAGATTAAAGTTCCCATGGTTATTTCTTGAATCATCTTTAAATGTAAAAGAGTCAAGCATGGACCAATGAAATTGATATGAAGCAAGGATGTTAGCTAATTTGTATTTGCAAAGAGCATACATATATATTGCAAAAAATGTCCTTGTCTGTGGGAAATGGGCATAGAGCCAGTTCTTAGTGATATTCAAGGATGTTGTTCTTGGGCTTTTTGATTCATGAGAATGGATT